AACGAGACACCGGCCTGAAGAGGGCGCTCCAGAGGTTGGTGAGCTAATTCCCTGGATGACCAGCAGGAGGCGCCGCAGCGGTGAGTCATCACACCATTACAAGACCAAAACACCACTCTGCCAAATCCAGTGTTTGCCCTAGAAGCCAAGTTCAGAGCACAGTACTCAGAGAAGGTATGCACCAAAGTCCAGGTTGCAGCTTTGCGAACTTCAGCAACTGCCATCTGCCTAAGACAGGCGAAGGAAGTTGCCACAGCTCTAGTGGAATACAGTCAAATTACAAGAGGTACAGGGACTTTTGCCAGCAAGTTGCATTCAACAATACATTGTTTAATCCACTGAGAAATAGTCTGGGATGAAACCATATCCCAAGAACCACACTGCGTACAAGACACAAACAACTTAGATGATTTATGAAAACTTAGTTCTGTCAGGGTAATAGCCCTTCTAACATCCAAAAAGTGTGTAGAACTGATTTCTCCTTATTAGAGAGTGTGGCTTAAGGGGGGAAAATAGCCAATTAATAGTCTGATTTCCACACCAATCAGATACTACCTTAAGTAAAAATCTGGGATCACACCTGAGAACTACCTTGTCCTTATGAAAAGAAGTGAAAGATGGGTCAGCCATACGGGCATTCAATTCACTCACTCTCTTGGACAATGTGATGGCAATAATGAAAAAATCGCCTTGGTCAGCTAAGGGCCACAAAGGGTAATTTTACCAGCGTGGCCAACATCAAGTTGAGGTCCCAAGAAGAGAAAGGATCCCTAGCTGAGGGATACACATTTGATAACACTTTCAATCTTTTAACTGAGCAAACAGCCATCTGCCATCAACTAGAACGTGCTATGTGAAGATGGCTGTCAAATTAACTTTTAACGAGTTAGATAACTCTAATTCTCTAAGTACATTACATATTCCAGAACACAAGGAATGGAAGCAGATACAGGAGAATCAGATCATCCTTTCATTTAAATCTGAAATCTGGACCACTTTAGATGGTAACAGTTTCTAGTAGATTGTTTTCAAGAGTTAATTAGTATCCTGCACAGACTCAGAACATGACTGCTCAAGAGCATACGTATTCAGAGTCCTATTACCCACACCATCAGAGTTTCAGAGATCCTGCCCTCCTGTTGGGACAGGGGATCTGGGGACAGAGGAAGACACAGACTTCACCAGACAGTTGAAGGAGATCAGTAAACCACTGCTGACGTGACCAAGCCGGGGCAATGAGTATCATCCTTACCCGGTCCCGATGTGTCTAATGGAAAGCGGGGGGGAAGTGTACATTAAGTCCTTCCCCCAGTGCAAAAGGAAGGCATCTGACAGGGAGTGACTGTCCCTGGCCTCTCTGGAACGGAAGAGGTGACACTTTAGCACTCATTGCAAACCCATGGATTTCCAGGCCATACTTAAATCAACAGAGCTGGCTCTAGCTCCCTCAGGCCCCACACAGCCTCTCTCATGTGGAACAAGGAAGCAGGACAGTACTGTAGAGAGACTGCTGAAAATAAAGGACAGCCGAGATTAATGGGAGCAAAAAATCTAAGCAGCTGCTACTGTACCTGCAAGTGCCTTAATGTAGGAAGGACTAATAGCACCAAATACAATATTTTATGCTTTTTCTTCTTTAAATAAATGATACTTGCCTTTTAAAAGGCATTTATTTAAAATGATAGTATGGCTAAAATAATTTTTTCCCCAATTACTATTACCATTTTCTACAGCACACATATGGCAATGGGAGAGATGGGTTTCAAAAAGTACACAAATACCAGGCTTTTTCCCCTCTACCACTCAACTCTAATGTTGAAATACTTTTAAAAGATCACGTTTACGTTTTAATTAAATATTGTGTGGCATTGTATAGCAATCTGGTTTCTGCTAGTTCCAGTATGTGCTATCACTATGGGATAACTAAAAAGGTCAGAGGCTTCCTCTGACAAGAGCCCACTGCTTTAATTCAAGCCATTTCAGACAACTTGATCCACTGTTTATACAAGGATGGCAGTGAAAAAAGCACTTATGAGACAGTTAGTGATGTCAGCCTCCACTTCAGAAACACATTTAGGCTAACTTTTATTTAAACAGAATCTACAATAGCAACAACTCTTCTTAGAATGTATCAGATGTATCATCATAGTAGCAAGAAGCACTTGTAGCACTACTGGTCCTCAAAAAAAGCAGGCAAAATACTGCAGGTAAGTAGTATAGCTTTTTGGCTAGAATATCTGTAGTTTGGTCCAACACATGTCTCACTACTTACTGGTACAAAAGCTACCATATAGTTATTTTGGGGTCCAATTATATATCATTCTCTAGCTTATTCGTGTGAGTGTGCTAGTATGATTAAGGAACGTTTGCCTCTCTGTTTGAAAGCAGTCATACTCACTGTCATCTACCACTGAGTACCTGCAAATTTCAGAGCCCAGGGTATGTACAGAGGAAAAACACCCTTTTCAACTGGAGAATTAACTCCTCTTAATGAAATGAATCATGGGTGATAATGTTTTCATTTATTTTCTCCATTTTAATGTAAGTTATTTGAGAGACAAAATTTGGTCAAAAGTTTTTTAAAATATATTTCATAAATAAAAAGTCAGTGAAGATGTGATATTCCAACCACAAGTCATTGGATGTGGAATTTCTCTTAAGAGGTATCATCTAGGGTTGGTATAGGTGGGAGCAGAATCTAAGTGAGTCTCACTTCCTCTTCTCCCTACTAAAAATAAAAGGTCTGCTTTAGGCATCAAAGAGATTAGAGGCCCAGAACAGCTGAACAGAGGATTTTTAAATTTTATTTTTTAAACAAGGCGTTGATCAATATTACAAAAATAAAAAGTATCATGACTATTCTACTATTAGTCTAAGTAATACTTTTAAGCAGGCTATTACCACTGCAGAAGCAGTTTTTTCCCCACCATCCTTCAAGTAGAAGTATTGCTTTCTTGTTGTGTAGGTGTCAAAACAGAAAGCTCATCTTAAAATTTAAGGAAAATTCGAGTGAGTATATTCTACCCACTACTTCTAGTTACAAAGAAGAATAAATCAATATAGTTTAGACTCAGACTACTAAATATAAAAGTGTTAGCTTTCTGCTTGATTGTTACCATCTTAGTCTGATACAAAGCAGGATTGCAAACATCAGCATCATCATTCAAATGTAGCAAAAGTCAAAGGCCTGATCCAACTCCCAGTAGACTCCACCGGAATTTTTTTTTTTTTAACCAACTTTAATGGGAGTTGTATCAGTACTCAAGCAATTTTGGAAAGTTTAATTGTTAAGAATTTAAACATTTTAAGCGAGGCTAAACATGTAATTGCTTTTACATAGCTTACCACCCAACTTTGAAACTCCCTTCATATGCATTTTTTCTTCAAATGGGTAAAACAGATACTTCTCAGCAGGGGCTCTACTGGAAAATGATAGTGTAGGATTTGAAGTATCATTAGCCTGCTGATAGACCACAGCCTCATTCGCTAAACAAATATTGAAAGAGTGACAGGTAAAAAAAAATCATATATGCATACATACATGATGCACTTATTTAGCTATCTAAGCTATAACTAAGCACCACAGTTTTCCTTTTAAGTTTTAGAACCAAGCATTATTTTTTCATCCACCTTGCTAAACCACTCTAAAGTCAAGTTGTATGTACTGTTAATTTATTTCAAGAGCTACAGCACAATATATATTTTTAAAAATTAATAAAGACTACTGAATAACTTAAGTGATAAATATTTTTCTTGTAGTCTCCCAATGAAGTGGGCCAACAAGCAGATTGATGTTTGTTTGTATGTTAAAGGTCAACTTTAAGCACTTTTCTTCAAAATATTTCCTAAATGCATAAATTCCCAAAATGAATATTGAGGGGGAATTTTCAAAAGCACAAAGTACCACTGGTTTTTGAAAAAAGAGTTAACCTTAGGTAGTATCATTCATTTAATTTATTTTGGGCTTTCTTGGCCAATGAAGTGCAGTTCTAGGCTTAAAATTATTACTCTTGTGCAGATGTTCAGCATACACTAGCCTTGCAACATCTATATCATTTTTATCAGCCCTCAAGTGGGACATAGAGATGCAGGTAGGTTTACTTTTGTTCAAAACTGAGTGGATCTGATATTATATATTATTTTATAGGAATAAAACACAAATCAAACTCACTCAGTACCAAATGAGACTTAAAGTACACCTCTACCTCGATATAATGCTGTCCTTGGGCGCCAAAAAAAATCTTACTGCATTATAGGTGAAACCGTGTTATATCGAACTTGGTTTGATTTGCTGGAGTGCACAGCCCCGCCCCAATGGAGTGCTGCTTTACCGCATTATATCCGAATTCATGTTATATCGGGTCGTGTTATATTGGGGTAGAGGTGTACATTTTTCAGAAAGTTATTTTGGTTTTGAGGACATTCATTCTTAAAACCTCTCATGGAAGACAGAGTGTTTTCAGTTTATCCTTAAAATGAACAAATGCTATTGAGACTCTGGACCCTAAAGACAGGCAACATTATCTTCTGTTTTTCGGATGAAGCACGTAAATCGGGCTCTTAGTTACAGCATCCATTCATGAATGGGTACATAACTTAGAGATATTCCAGAAATCATCTTCCATTCAATAGGGGTTTTCGTTAGTAGGTTCTCCTCCCTTTTTATATGTGGAATACTTTGGAGCCATCTATGTTTTTTCCACCCACAACAGAATTAAACAACATTCCACCATGCTCCAGTGTCAGCAAGTGCTCTTTTCAGTCCAGGTACCTGATGATGATTGATGAAGCTGTCAGGCCTACAGTAGCGGATAGAGCAGTTTGGCAGGAATTCAGTGTTATTGAAAGAAATCTCAAATACTTATTCCATCTCCTCTGCTAACTTTAATCACATTATCAACATGCTGCCAGGAATGGAGCCTTGACACCAAGCCATAAATTTACACAGGCAACCATTGTCTGCATAGTGCAATTCCAACACAGATAATGAGCAAGTTCTGTTTATTTTTACCTGTTTTTATTTTATATTGCATAGTACTTAAAATAATATTTGAAAGATCTTCCTGTCCCTCAGGTTAGCTTGCATCAAGTTTCATTCTGTTATTGCATTTAATTTCAGTTGGTTTACAAAAGGATAATTAAGCTAGTCATTCAGTTATATTGCTATTACATGAAGATTTTAAATAAAAAGAAAAGATCACGGTGATCACAGGAGCTCGCAAATACTCCTGTTAATCAGAACACAAATTAATACTGCAGATGCTTCATTTTTAATGCCACTTACTTGATTGCCATGCCATGCCATGACAAAAACAAAAAAGAGATCTTTCCTCAACTGTATTAAGGTTATCACAACAGATTTTAGGTAATAAGTCCCAATAAGGTGGGCATTGCTCATCCTACTGAGTGCACCAATGGCAGGACAAATACTTAAGGTAAATACCGTACCTGATAAAAGGCTAATGGAAGGACTGATATACTTTTAAAAGTTACTTTTAGGTGGTTTGGGCGGTGGGAGGTATTCTTAGGAGTGTAAAGCTACAAGAATGCCATGAGCCAGTTACATAGAGAGAAAAATCATTGTTTCCTGTGACCTCACAGCCACTCTTATGGTGCCTATTTTAGAGAGCAATCAATATCTCAACTCGACTTCATAACAGTGCAGCTGTAATTGTACCTGAGTAACGCATTCTAGCCTTTCAGAATCCACTGTTTTGCAAGACATGCTGGTTTTCCCAAAATAGCTGTTAATGAGTGTGTGTACATCCTAATTTCAGCCAAGCATGGCTTGCATTTATAATACCTGCTCTCTATGGCAGGGCTGTGGCCTTATACAGAGATAATTTAGTTTTTGTTTTCTTCCCCGCAGACAAGGCTGTCTTCACAAGCCGAGGAATTCTAGTTTGCAACTCCCTAAATTGATGTAGCCATGGTATAAAGGCAGAACTCCATTTCTAGACCTGCCTGTCCTACAAACTAAGATAGTGATAACACCAATCACCTTGAACAAAACAAGCTTGTAGAGGCACTTAAAGTTGGAGGTATGCAAAACTCTTCTTGCTAAATCAAACTTTTGTTCTAGTTACAGCAGGATGTGGGGATTGTTTTACCTCTATTTTGATTAGGCTTTCTGAAAGAACCTCAGTGTTGTTCTGATAAGTCTGAAGCAAGAGAGTACTGGCACACACAAAAACAACAACAACAACGAAAAAGGTCTTAAAAAGAAGAATATTTAGCCAGGTCCTTCTCCATCTCAGCATATTGTTCTTTAAGGCGCGCCATTGCTTTTCTGTGCTCTTCATCCACTTCTCCTCGTTTGTTGTGTTGGTCTTTCATGAACACTTCCCAGTGGGCTAGACGCTGCTTTTCACCAGCCATTAGCGTGTCAGTCTGAAGCTGAGAGGAGAAAGGAAAGTTATAGAAACGATTTCTAGATGAAGACCATGGGTTAATGCAGATTTGATGACCTTACAAAAGCAAACATATTAAAGAGTCCAGCTTTCATTCCAGCATCAGAAAGTAAAAGTTATATTCATCTAGTCACACTGCACAAATCAAAAGAAAAGTGATAACCATGCAGCCTCATCACGCAACTAATGGCAACTTGCCTCCATTCTAGACTAGTCACCAAAAAAAGAAAAAATAATAATAATCAAACTCTAAAGCTAACACTTCCATTCAGCTACAATCCAAGTAATTTCTGTTATCTGATGTTGGAAGAACTATTCCTAACACTACTCCTGATCTTAGTATGGCCTACTCCACTTGCCCACATTTTGTTTTTAAAAAGCACTTTTGATCACAGGAATATGCTATTTATTGTTTGTAGTCTCCATCTTGGTTACGTACACTGCAGATACCTAGAGTGGAAATGGACACAGCATTATCTTGTTCATATTGAAAGAAACTGGCCAGACCCTCAGACAGAGAAATTCTTCATTTAAGCAAGAATTTTTGGCTATTTCAGCATGGCTTAGAATTTGGAAGGGGATTGTTTAAGTAAACTCCAGCTCATTTTTTTTAAAATGTCTTAGCCCAGTTCTTTCTGACCAGCCATGGAGCTATGTCTGGCACAGCAAAGACAAACATAGGTGATTCTATGGTTTAACAATGCTTTCAAAATACATCTACTTTGTGTTACAAAAGGCTGATATTGGAAAATATTGTGCCCACTATATTTCACATCTGAGAGAGAGAAATAAAGTACAATTTCAGGGAGTCAAATGTGTTCATTTACGGTGTGTATTTGCACTGAGGATTCCTGACTTCCAGCACTGGAGGCTAAAAAGAGAGGTGGTTCTTCAAACATCACAAGGACAAGTACAAAATCGATGCCTCTTGTAATGGCTGAAATCCCATCACAACTATAACTATAGAGTGCCTCAAAATTTAGTACAACAGACCAAAATGGGTAACAAAATAGTGTGTACTATACACTATACATGTAGTATACTTCAGTCCATCCTTCACTGTGTTAGTTCTATTTTTCTGTTGGTCATTACCTTACATATCAACCTCAGTATAAAAATTAGTGTTTTGTTAATTGAAACAAGAACATGTTTACATATCTCAATGGACATTTTTAAACTAGTAACAAAACAAATTTCTAAAACACTATAATGGTAAGGTTCTATATTACCACCAGAAACAAGTCTTGATGAAGGAACCACTAAGGTCAAAGGAAAAGACAGACCATCTTTGTAGTTCTTATTTTCATATTTTGACTTTTGGGAATGGTAGATTGTGTTTCTCTCTTAGCCAACAAGTTCTCACTATGCCTAATGGTTTTTATACATATTTACTATCGGTAATTTTTCCTCAAGCTTCCACATTACTCATTGTTTCTGGTAAATAGGATTCTGTTCACCTCCTTGTCTTGAAAGGAAGACAGTTCTAAAGAAACGTGTACAGACATTAAAAGACGAGCTTTTACCGAATATTTGTAAGCAATAGTAATAGTCTGACCTTCTAGTGTTTTATTCCAAGAACACAGAAATCATAATAACTCTGTACAGCACATCAGTTCTGTTGATCCTCCATGGGTGAAAGTACATCAGCATTTTCTATCCATCAGCTACTATTTTCTACATAGAGTAGTTCAGCATAGGAGTAGTACAATTGTGCAAACTCATATATTCATCCAATATTTTAGCAAATTAAGATGGATTGACACTACATGATGTCTAGCTTGTTTTTATTTCTCCATATTATGTATTTAGCTTTTTCATGCAAAAATAAATCATGGTGTGAACATGCTAATTTTACCACATAGCACTCAAAGTACTGTTACAGTATCACTCATTGAAAAGTTCTGCATATCTTCTATACAAAACAGAGCAGCTGTTAAAAAAAATATGTACCTGTAGTCCCACCAGAGAGCTGGAATGTCTATACCTTTTCAAATTTTTGAAGTGTTAATGAATTGTTTATGCAGTTATTAATAGTGTATCTGAATAATTATAAAGTGCCTACCTGCAAGTAACCACAGTTCAGACTGGACTAGACTGCACCCCTGACAACATGAATGGTTTGCAGGGAAAACAGCAAGTATCACCGTGTTCTGCAGTACCATTTCCACCCACGTATAAAGTCACTGAGCTGATAAAACCATTGGACATTTGGGGAGCCTTAGATATGTATTATATCTAAGGCTCCCCAAATGATTTAGGATATTAAAAACCATTGGTCAAAAGGCAGAAGGTTGCTTCCTTCCCCACCCTTTCTTCTTCTTCTCCAAAACAGTCTTTCTAGTTTGTCTTGGCCCAAAAGAAAGACATTGACAAAGTGATATTAACAGCCAGGCTCTTTGGGTTCCTCAAAAATATGATCAAATTAGATTAAACAATTTAATGCTGAAAAACAATTACTGTAATTTTTACCCTTTAAATAAATATAGGCAGTGTAATAATGAGAAAGTAAATGTATCTTAACAGAATTGTCCTAACTTCCATAGAGTAATGATATTATGCACAAAATAAAAATGAGTCCACAGGGTTGTAAACTGATCCGCAATATAAACAGAGACTTGAAGATATGACTATGAAGATATAAATACTATACATTTTAAAGATCAGAAAGCAAAGATGACATTAACACTAGCCTATGCCAGAGCAAACAAGCAGGAATGATCGGGTGACAGACAGTACACAGTAGTGTGTTCATTCTCTCCAGCCATATAGTGCTGTGGAAATTTCAACCCAAAAAAAGACTCAATGGTTTGGGGGTATTGAGCCTTTCACTTCTAGATCACAGGTTCAAGCACTGACCTAACGAAATAAAACCCTTAAATCATTGCTATTTGATGGCTGTTGAGTGGCCTGTATAAAATGAGTTTATGGTCTCAAGAGGACAGGTACCCATATCACAAAGAACACTGCCTTGGCATACCTTTGGCAGTCTCAGCAGGTAAAAATGGAAGTCCTGGGCATGAAGAGTGAACTATCCTCTTTCCCCTCTATTTGAAGGCCTAGGCACACAAGGTGGGGATGTATGCAGAAGCTTGCATTGCTGCCTCCTGTGAATGGAGGATTTGGGTCTCCAGGGCTGTCAGTCCTGCACATTTGACACATGCTACAATTTAAAAAAAGTATATAGCCCAGGTTCTCTCCTACTGTCTCAGGGAGTTGCCTCCCTCCCACCAAATGTCTGCATTGCCAAGAGGTAGCTACATGACTCCCTCAGCCTTAATTCTAACATTTTATTCACTGACACCCAAAACCATCCCCATCAATGCACCTACAAAATTATATTCTAATTTCCCCAACTGCTAGCTCTGTCATTATTATTCTCACTTCTGGCCAGGAAATTCAACATTAATCTCAACTTAAGAACACAACAGGACTATGTGCATTACTAAGCCTTTACAGGAAGCTTCTTGTCTATGCAGCTGGTCTTTAAGAATGACAGCATGAGCAATAAGAAGAAGGTTCTCTGGTACTTGACTTAATTTTGCTAGGTAAATTGATATTCACCTATGGTGAAAAATCCAAAGAACTGCACAACCTTAAGGTATACTATAAGTCACATACAGCAACTTGAAACTACTCTGTTCATATATCAAGTGAAGCAGCAAAAAAATATGATCATACAACAAGATGGCTTTTATCTCACAGCTTCCAAGAGAGAAAGGAGAGATGCTGGGAGTTTATTCTCCCCTTAATGGTTTTATGGAAATTTTCCAGTCTTGTTAACTAACACTATGTTTCAAAAGAACCAGAAGGGAGGAAGAATCTTTCACTAAAGACAGTTTAGTCACTGCATAGATGAACTTTGGAGGCTCCCTCCCTAGAATTCAGAAATAACATTGATACATTCTATACTAACAAACTAGAGGGATTAGTACACTAGCTCCCTTTAGTACTGTACTACATGCAAAAAATATTAACTTGCAGATAAGAGTTATATTATTCCCTATATCATCCTTAAACAAAATACTTAAGTACATTACCATTAAAAACACCTAATCACTAAGGGAGGGAAACAGGAAGTAAAAGTAGTTTATTAAAATGTGAAAATCCACTTCACACTTTCCAACAACATCCTTAAGTGACCAGAGAGATTTAAAAGCTTTTCAACATAGACATGATCAATCATATACTATACTAGAGATATACACATGAATTTTCTTCAAAAATACACTGCCCCACACCCACACCACCTCCAATTATCTGATCTATAAGGCATACTTGAGTGACTCTTAGAATAAACAGGTGAATTTTCACAAGTCAATGTTGTTAGGTGATACCATGAATTCTAGGTACAACAAAACATTATTACCATATTTTAAAATTTAAGGCAAGTTAATTTTTGATGTCCACAAAAATATTTTATTTTTGTGTTAACAGCCTAGGCACAAGTCCATTTTGTGCCTGTCCTGGTAAATTTTCATGACAATTTGCAAGATTGTGGAAAAGTACTAAGTTATTTTCATCTTAAAGGAATGTTATTTCAGGTTATTTCCAATTGAGATATTCTCTTCCTTGGGAACCTTCCATACCCCACACCCTCACTTTATATTTCTCACACCTCAAAGTCAAACCACTTGCAAGCCTAGGGCATAACCTTAACCATATGTATTAATTTATAAGCCAGACAAAGTACTAACCTCTTAGTGCTGACAATTAAGATTCCCCGTTGTGAAGCACTAGTTGATTTTCACATCATGCTGAAGAAAAGCTACACAGCACAAGGATTTTACAGTGCATATCATTAAAAGGTGACTGATCACTCAAGATATGCAATAATCTCCCTGACAAATATAGCCTCTCCTATTGCTAATGTAAGCTACAAATTAAAAAAAAAAAAAGAAAAAGAAAGAAACAGAGTGTTTGTATACTAGAGTTTATTGACACAGGTATGACATCAGGCAGCCAAACTTTATGTCCAGACATTTAAAT